GACGCCTTCTGCGACAGCGAGTTCGGTGAGTGCGCGCGCGCGGCCCTCCGCCGCGCCCGGCCGGCGCCCGGGTGACCCGCTCTCCCCCTCGTGTTTCGGAGGCAGCCGTGAACGGCATCGTGCACGACGTGGACGTGCTGGGCGCCGGCGTCCGCCTGGTGACCCTGCTGGTGGACCGCGCCGGGCTGTACAAGCTGAGCCGCCTCTACGTCCGCCCCGACGGCTTCTTCCTCCGCGCGCACGTGCTGGCCCTCGACTCCTCCCGCTGCAGGAGGCCGTGTCCGGAGCTCAAGCCGGGTAAGCAGCGGCCGGGGCGGGCTCTAGGCGGTGCGCGCGTCCCCCCCGTGGCTCGCACGGCGGAGCCCGCCCTGGGGACCGCGGCCCCTTTGGGGGGGCGTGCACGGCGTTTCCGCACAGGCCCCCGGCGCACTCCCCCGGACATCGGCGGGGACTGGCACGCGGGGCGCCGGGACGCGTGGGCAGAGGGGACCCATGGGGGCTCCGCACAGAACCGGAGCGAGAACGGCGCGGGCACGTGTGGGGAGGTTGTGGCACGTCCGCTCCCGTGCTCTGCGGTCAGCACCGCCGTCTGTGATGCTGGCCGTTCACAGACTGACTTTACGCCCGTCGGCCGTGGGCGCAGCGGGGTGAGACTCGAGCTAAGCGGTTCTTAAGGCCCTCCGTGTTTGTCGCGTGGCGTTTCAGTGGCACTGTGGTTTCTGGTTCCCTGGTGCAGGCAGCAGGTACATTGTGATGGGCCACCTCTACCACAAGAGACGCCAGCTGCCCGCAGCCCTGCTCCAGGTCCTGCGAGGGCGGCTGCGTCCAGGGGACGGGCTGGTCAGGAGCAGCAGCAGCTACGTCAAAAGGTTTAACAGGACCAGGGACCGGCAAGTTCAAGGCGCCGCTCACGCCCAGTGCATCTGAAGCGCCCGCGCCGGCCCTGGAGGATCCCGAGCGCCTTGGACTTCAGCTGAAGGGTTTATCTTCACGGCGGTGGCGTCCTCCTTTAAAGCCGGGCCCACCGCTACTACAACAGCTTGTGGAGCTGGACCTCTCACCTGGAAAGCGCCACTCTATCTGCAGAATGCTGCTTCAGGGGCGCGCTTCTGAGCTCACAGGCAGTCACTGGACTGCAGGGCCAGTGACTCAGGCAGTCCAGACACCTACCTGTCCAGTTAACAGATCACTGCTTCATGTGAAATTTTTAAATTATTTTAATTTAACACATTCTTCAGTAGAAATAGTTCACAAAAACCCATTTTTTGTATTTATACAATTTTGAGTAGTTTATAGCAGGTTCAAACCAGATTTTACACTCAAACCACATTTTAAAACTGCACACATAATAAGCATACTAGTCAACGACATTTATGTACGAAATGTCATTTAGAACTCCAGGGTCAGAGCCCAGGACAAGGGTTAGTGTTCTGCATGTAAAGGGTACTAAAGGGCTTAATCCAAGAAAGCGATATTCAAAGCCAGGTGTCCCTGATGTACCAAAATGTAAGCCATTCTCACGCCTTCCTGCTTCTAGCAAGTCGTGTTTTGTGTCAACCTGGATGCTTATTTCAATGCCTCATGTATCTGAAGTCATTTTTCTATTACGACCAAGTATCATGTTTGTTTGTAAAGCAGTAAATCTTGCTTTGAAATCACATCTTGGGTGCGCCTGTTATTTTTTTAGTCTTTTTGAAAAAAAGCTTTTCTCAAACATACTTCCAAAATCCTAGTACCAGTGTCCATCAGTGACAGCTCACAAGCAAGTGACTCTCACATGTCTTCAGTTGGTTTTAAAAGGGTTAATCCCCAGCTCAATTTAATAAATTATTTCATACTTGAAATAATTACTTCACAAAGACGTTACAATTTTTGCAGGTCAAGCTGTACCTCAGTTAATCTGAAGCACCGTGAACAGACACCAATCTGTGTGCACACCGCTGCCGACAGAGTAGGCGGCCTGTCTGGTCTGTAGGTGATGCGCTCCTGGAGCTCACACTTTCTTTAGCTGCAAGTGGAGCACAGAAGCTCTGTGTACTAAGGACGTACAGGGCAGACACGAGAGCTGACCGGGAAGCAAGTGGCAACGGCATAAGACATAACTGTGATATTTCCTCTCCTGCCTCAAACATGGGGGTTAGAGGTAAAGCTGAATTTCTGCATATTCTGTGGTAAATCATTACAGAAGGACTGAGATAATTTTTCAAAATTGAATTTTGCCTTAATTTATTAAAAATTTTTTACCAGCAATCGCAGCTACAGGGAAGCTGAGGCAGGAGGATTCCAAGTTCTAGGCCAGTCTGGGCACCTTACCAAGATGTATCTCAAAATAAAAAGAGCTGGGGATGCAGCTCACTGGTAAGAGTGCCTAGCATGCTTGAGGCCCTGGATTTGAACACCAGCAATGTTTGCTAAAAATTTTTTGGGGAATCGACTCACTACATAAATTATTGGCAATAGAGCACGCAGCTAATAAAGCATTTAGGAGTTAAGTTTTCTTCTTTGCTGTGCTAAACAAACACTGTGAGCCTTCTGCCTCAGCCTCCCAGGGTGCTGGGATTACAGGTATGCACCACCATGTACAGCTAGGAGTAAATTTTCCTTAAGTCAAAATTAAGCCAGACACAGAGGTGCATACCTACAATCCCAGCATCCTGGGAGGCTGAGGCAAGAGGATCCTTTAAGTTTGTGCCAAGCCTGGGAAGCAGCAATACACTCCTCAAAATAAAAACTAAAAAAACGGCTGGGGATGTAGCTCAGTGAAGGCCCTGGGTTCAACCCCCAGCACCACCAAAAAAAACAAGGGTGAGGAAAAGATGATCCGGTCAGATGTTTCAGCCTAAAGAATTCTAAATGGGTCTAGTTTAAGAGGAAAAAAAAGCTGGGCATAGTGGCACACACCTGTAATCCCAGCACTCGGGAGGCTGAGGCAGGAGGATCGTTCGAGGCCGAGTTCGAGGCCAACCTGGGCTACAAAGTGAGCTCAAGGCCAGCCTGAACTGCATAGCGAGACCCTGTCTCAAAAAAAGACAAATAAGCAAAAAACAAAAAACAAAGAGGAAAAAAAAAGTCACTTTTACGTAAACCTGAGTTAGTGTTGGACTTAAAATGGTTTGACAACAGTACTCGTTATGAAAAATTTTGGAAACACAAAAAAATGCAAGAGTCCTGATGTTAGTGGTACTTGGTGATCACATGGTAAATTCACATCCCAGAAAGACAGGCAGACCAGTTTCTTAAACAGCTGCTGGGATAAAAATGAAGGCCACTGTACACATCCGGGTCTTCAAGGCAAGAACAGACTGGGAATTTCAGGTTGGGCAAAACAGGAATGGTGAAGAAGTCTCATTTTTAGTATTCAGTCAGGAGACCTTAGATATAATCTTTAGTTCTATGGAATATTTTACTTTATTTTGCCTTTTTGAGACAAGAGTTTCACTATGCAGTTCAAGTTGGCGTTTGCAGCCCAGGTGGACCTGGAACTCGTGACGATCCTCCTGCCTCAGCTTCTCGAGTGCTGGGATTACAGGCATGTGCCACCTTGACTAGCCTGGAATATTATAATGAGCAAATTCATTATAGTTCCTAATCCTTTTGTCCTGCTGATAGATTTTTCTCAGCACTTGGATGTGTGCTCCAAAGATTAGGGCCTTCTGTGCTTCCATGCACACATAACAGTTCCTCAATAAAATACTTCACTGCCTTGAGGAGCACTTCACCAGCACCACCCTCACACGAAAGCGCTTCCTGTATTCAGTGCTACACCGGGCACTGTTCCTGCTTTCTCAGAATCACTGTTGAGGGTGACCAAGCACATGCCTCTGAAAACACTCCGACACTGACTCGCCACCCACAGTACAGAACACACCTGAACATGCGGAGTCTAAGGTGGATAAAGCAGGACTTCATCATTTCAAAAACACAGCTTACTTCTTTGGTTGAATTTGGTCCAAACTGAATCAGTCTTCTGAGAAATGTCTTTTGGTATCTCATTCTAAGTATCTAGAAGTCCTTCAGACTTTCAGATTACTTAAAGCACTTCCCAGCTGGCCCTTTCTCCCCTCAGTGCCTAAAAGCCATCGTTTGCCTCGAGATGCCACCACTCTCACGTTAGGGACAAGGAACCCGAGACTCCTGGGGAGGCGCTCAGTGGAGACAGGACTGAGGCTGTACCGTGCAGCTGCACCCGACCGGAGCCCGCAGGTGCGCGGGGACAGTCACAGGGCCCTGGACGGGCTCCGCAACGTTGGAAACGCAACGAAGAAGCCCGGAGTTTGCCTAGTAGAAATGAGTAGAAAATAGGGAAAGAACTTTTATTTGGAGATTCCAGAAGGTAAGTTACACACAAGAGCACATCTCAAGGTCTAACGCTCCAGGCCACCTTGTAGTATAAAGAGGTAATTCAATGTTCACGTTAGAAAATATTTCCAAAGTTACACAATTTTTAAAAACCTACTGCAGGACATTAATACACATCCTGCAGAATTTGGCTAGGAAAAAAAAGCCTTACCAATATTATGAAAATAGTTTTGATAATTTCAAGGGCTGTGAACTTAGCTGACAAAGCGTAACAAACACTGAAAATTCTTTCAGCCTAAGACACCTATTTATGTAAGTGTATTTACAGTCCCAAAGACTGGAGCAGGCACATCCTGACGCTATCACACATGTGCGTTATACCACTCGGATTATTCACAGCAAAAGAGCTTAATATCTTACTGAATAGAAACTTGTCAAAGGATACTCATAGAAAAACCGCTTCTGAAATAAGAATGTTTTTCAAAAATTACTTTGGAAAGACTAAAAGCTCTGTAGTTGGTAAAACTATAAAATGTTTTTATGTGTCTATATGGCAATAAAAATTGCAAAAAAGGTTATACCATTTAAATACACATGTGAAATTAACATCCTCCCGGTCTTAGGATTTCTATAAAACTTATCTAGTTTGTACAATCTGACAATGCCAACAGCTTCAGAAAATAACCAACGAACCACTGTTTCATTAGAAACTGCACCAAATCCAATGTCAAAAACATTATTTTATTTCTCTAGGATGAAACGTCCTATTACGTACAAAAAGAATTACTGTTTAGAATTTGCCACAATTTGTTAAAAACATAGCAACCTATTGCCTACAGGTAGGAAAGTTCTTGCCGCAACAAGTTTTAAATGAGTAAGCCCATATATTGATGTATATGAATAGACAGTACAGAAATACTGCGATGTGATGGGACGCAGAATGATGATTCATTAAAATGTAGGGTTCTTGCATCAGCACAGTGCATACAATATGTAACATTTTTTAAAAACTAAAGGACAAAATAACCTGTATTTAACTACTTCCATTTTAATATTTTAAGCAAAAACTTTGTTTCCATGTTGAGTAATCAGTCTCTTTAGTTTGTAAGCATAAGTTTTAGTGACATCTTTATATACAAAAAGGAATGGGCTTCGTTACATAAAACTAACCCAGACAGAAGAACCTATACACCTGAGCCTGTAATACAGAACTGGGAGCTGTAGCAACATCCTTCTTTTAAGAAACTAAGGTCTGGGAACGGTTTGCATAGCAGGGCATCATTAAACAGAGGGAAACTTTTAAAAAACAGTAACTAGGTGAATTCCAGAACTTGGTGGGACGAAGCTGATAGAATTAGTGCAAAATCTAGGAAAATTTTTGCAAAGTTGCATGATCTAACTGGCAGATTTCAGGGGAGCCACTATTACAGCGCAGTAATACAAAGTGGACAGTTATAACGCTGAAAAGAAAGACATGCACAATATACCTGTCTTTGCTGTCTCCCCATGGTTTATGCTACTTTTCCTTCCACAGCACAAAAAAACCCAACCAACAAAAATTCACGGAGGATGAGATCATCAAAAAATGCCCTTCGTACAATTTAAGTACCTGTCTGGTCGTTCACTGCCTGGACTCACACAGAGTACAGTGAAGCTGACGCGCGCTGTGTCCTGTTACCTTCTGTGCTCAGCGACACGAGCAAGTGGCGCAGCAGCGTTAGCACCCCGGGGTCTGCTCTGGTGTGGTGACAGCGGACTGGGAATTCCACAGCGAAGGGCCACTACTGTCCTGGAAGCCCAGGTCTGATCAGACCCTTCCGCCTTTCCTCCCGGGAAGTCCCCCCTCCCCCCACAGAGGCTGACAGATAACCATTCGGGCACAAAGACACCTCCATCTGCGGGAGAAAAGTTGTCTCCATTTATTTTGTTTCATATACATCCATAGTTGAATCTTAATACAAAAAGAAAAAATTAGAATCTGACAAATGTTTACAAACAAGATACCTTCAAATAGATTTTGCCGTTTTAGCCTGGTGCAGAGGAAAGGACAACTGTACTGATATATTCAAGGCAACATCGTCTGTAGTCCAGGACCACTTCGCCCAACCTTTCTGCAAGCTTAATTTTTGTCTATCGCGAACAATAAACTCATTGTTGATTCCCAGTTGTGTGTGTGTGCACATGTGTACATAGCAGCTCCTTTCATAGAAAGAAAAGACATCTAGAGGTCATCTTGTACTTTACCTACAGGAATCATGATAAGATACAGGATGGATTACATGTAACTGAGGCTGGATTTTATAAGAAAAAATAATTAGCTGACAAATGAGGGCAGCAATAAAAAAGCGTCTTTTTTTGCAACAATAAATAAATACAGTCAAAAGTTTTCTGTGAGACTCTAAACCAGCTTCTTCACTGAAGAGCAGACGTGGCATTTCCATGGAGTTACACTCGACCCCATAGTATCTTTTTTTCTTGCTTTTTCTTTTTTTTTTCAATAAACAAAATTTTCCCGCTTCTGCCACAATAGTAAAACCATTTGATCTTGACAAGATAATGGTGTCGTTGACTTTGCTTTTCCCTTGTCCGGTGGACAAAATTGGCCAAGAATATGTTTAGACTGTTATGACCAATAAAAACGAAGTTTAGGTCAAGTCTGTCAGGGTAACCGGACTAAAAACATCTGGCCCCTTAATTTAAAATAGTTCAGACAGCCAGACTCTCGCTGCATTTTACATTAGCGCGCTGAACGTTAAGAAGCTGTAGACTGCAGTTTGTTGTTATGAGACCTACAGAATACAGAAAAAAGGGAACAATTAAGCACCCTTCAGTTTTGAAAACAATGCTTTATGCGGATGCCAAGGTCGGTCAGTCGGGGGGAGCAGCCATGTTCATCCTTGGCAAGCAAATCTAAGAGAACAATTCAATTTTTAGCTTAAAATGTTAATTAAACCTTTTCACTGTATACAGTGACAGATCACTGGAAAAAACCAGTGTTAAATATATATATATATATTTGTCCAATAAAGAGTATAGCATTTTTAACCAATGGGACAAATAGAGACATTTACAGAAGCATTATCACTGCACAAAAGGTGTGTGCCTATTTATTTACATTAATTTGGGAAATACGAAGGGAAAAATTATATTAAAAGAAGAAAAATAATAAAAATAATAATAAATCATATTTTTCTATTAAAGCCCAAGAAAGTCTTTCTAGTTTCACAGTTTTATTCATAACTTTCGTTAGTAAACCAAATTACTGTACAGTTACCAGGGCTGAGTCAAAATACTTTATATTGTAGCAGTAGATAAATACAGTATTGCAAGAGTGTACAGTTTTTAAATACATTGTTCAACATGGCTGCTAGAATAAATTTTCTACCACTATACATCTTTTTAACATTAATAATTATATTAACTAATCTGTTTTGAGGGGGCAATTTTGAATTTGGTAACCACGTAGTGACCCAACATCCAGTTCTGATTCCAGTTAAAAATTCAGACTAAAGATATCACAATCTGTAAGAAAAGAAAGAACATGGACGGTATAAATGGTGAATCTCAACAAAGTAATGAAAATAACATAAAAACTACTGGAGATCATAAATTAAAAATAGGGAGATATGGTGACGGAAAGAAGGAAGTTTCAGGGACTGGCTACATAATGCCTCATTCTGCCTCAAACCTGAAAATACCAGATATAACCGAAAAAGGCAAGAGCGAGCTGCCTTTACGTGACCCGACACTGCAATTTATTTAAGCACAATTGAGCAAAACGTCTCTGTTTAGCTCCCGTGTGCTTTAAGGAAAATGGGGTGAACTTGAACATGCAAGAAGCTACACAGACCAGGTGGCCAGAAGTCCTAAGTGGCTTCTGTGGCCTGCGGCATGGCTCAGGGGCGTGGAAAGTGCTTGGCACACCAAGGCCCCCAGCAGTGACCGCAGCCCCAGGGCAGCGGCCCGCTGACTGCTGGGCCCCTGCCCGCTTGCTCGAACTCCTCGGTTCGGCCACAGCCCGGGGCACGACACAGGGCTCCCTCTCGTGCTTCAGCAGCTGCCCCAGCTCACCCCGGTACAGACCAGCAGGTGCGGAGCGGCCGTGAGGGGAAGCTGCGCCCTGCGTCCTATTTTCCCTCAGGCCGAAGCGCCGCATCCCTGCGATCGCACTTCCACTTGCAGGCCTTGGCAGACTGCCTGCACCGTTTTTTCTTGTCTCACCAATTTCACTGTTTAAACCCTGGCAGAGCAAATGCAAACCGAGCTTCTTCAACTGTTTTCCCACTGCTCACTGCGGAGTCCAGGTTTTATTCCTTATACCTTAAAATTCTGTTTTGCTCTTCTGTCTATAGGTTGATTCTAAAAACTGAAAACCAATGTTCTAATCTAACTACGTAAATTTTCTTCTCTACAGCATCTAAGAAGGACCTCGTGTACCTTTTCATGTTTTATGCGTTTGTCTTTTTGATCCCTTTAGTTTAATAACTGTCTAACGTTTTTCTGTCTTGACCGAATGACCTACTGTATGCCTCACGCTGCCTTGGGAGCGCCCCACCGTCCCGGTCCAATCTGGAGGGCCTGCGTGTAGCCTGCCGTGCAGATGCGGCCCCAGCCTAGCCCAGGGCTCATTACTTCCTGCTTCCTGGACCCGAGGCCTCATTTCTCTGCTTGCTTTCTTATTTCTGCTACAGCACACACCTTGTGAGGATTCGTCAAGAAAGGAGGCCCTTTCCTTACATTCAAAACTCTACAGCGCCTCTACACCTGTTTGGCTTTATACAGGTATTTAAGCTGGAAACAGTTTTCCTCAAACATCTGGATTTACTCCTCCATAATTTTTTTTTGTTGGGGGGGGTACCGAGAATTGAATTCAGGACCTTGCGCTTGCCTGTGCCGCTGAGCTACATCCCTGGCCCCCTCCATAATTTTTTAACTTTCCCTATTGTAGTCGAAAAGCTGGCACCAGTCTCACTCTTGGTATTTTGTAAGTTGTTTTGTCCTCTGCAAAGAGCTTCGCTACCCTTGGCCTGTGGACACTCAACAGTGATACATGCGTACGGGTGGAGCTTTCCCTAGCTGTCTCAACTTGGTTATCACGCCGACCAACTGTTCTCCCCGACTTCCCATAAAGTCCGGGCAGGAGAGGGACTTATTTATTTATTGCTAAATTCCCAGTGTCAGCACACAGCAAGTTCTCAGTAATTATTTGCTGAATGAATGAATTTGTTCTTTTGGATCTGAAGTATTGTGTCTCTCACTAGCTCAGGACAATCACAGAGGAAAATTTCCTGTCTTTTCCATTCTTTCTGGAATTTCTATTAAATAAATATTGGACACTGCAACATTTTTTTCTCCCATGATTTCCATCTCCTCTTTTTGGTCTTTATATTGGGAGAGTTGTTTGGTTTTAGCAACTTCTTTTTTTCCAATGATTCTTTCCTCTTCTCAGATTACTCTTTATTCTTAATCTGCTCATCATGATATAGATGCAGTGTCTTCTAACCTTCCTCTCTCTGTGCACACGACTTAGAATTTGTTTTCATTTTTTATTTATTTATTTATTTTTTTTGCGGTACCGGGGATTGAACTCATGACCTTGTGCTTGCCAGGCAGGCACTTACGCCACTGAGCTGTATCCCCAGCCCCTAGAATTTGTTTTTAAAAAATTCTCTCTGTTAAAGTGAGCTCAAGGCCAGCCTGAACTACAAAACCCTGTCTCAAAAAGACCAAAAAAAAAAAAAAAAAATCTGTTTCTCTGGCATCTATTTTTTTTGCCCTCTCTGACCTTGCTCTTTCACACTGCAGGCCCTCCCTACAGGTCTGCTGCCCCGGGGTCTGTCACCACGTCACAAAGATACGCTGTGCACTAGGCGCCCGGGACCTGAGGCCCGCTGTGTGCGTACGCAGGGCTGACAGCAGGTCTCGCTTTAGACGAGAAGTGAGGGTCTCTCAGCGTCAGCGCAGCCGCCACGCTGGGCCGGACCACTCCACTTGGAGGGGCTGGCGTGTCCCTGACAGGCTGCCCAGAAGCGCCTCGGGCCGAGCCCAGGCCAGCACCACTTCCAAGCCAGACATGCTGACCTTCAGTTAATCCGGCCTTTCCTTTTCTCTTGTCCTCCACTAGACTTCAAGAAAGTCTCCCCCTGGCTAGGGGTACACCTTTTTGATTCTTTTGTTGGTTCACTGTTTTCAGAGGGCTCTGTTACGCCTGCTGAGTCCCCCGCACGCAGGTTTGCCAGCAGACGCACCGGCAGACAGGAGGTGCGGACACGAGAGCACGCACGGGCCTGGTGCGGCTTCCCGGCCCCGCTTTGGCCTCCCCGCCTGCTCCCCTTCCCGTGACTAGTTTTCAGCTCGTGCTGGCCACGTGACTTCGCACTTCAGCTGGGCGCGGGCTTCACTTCTAAATACAGTTCTTGGGAACTACCTCCCTTGCTATGGGGGAGAACGACAAAACACCCCACATATATTCCTCGGGGGAGGAGCTTTACTAGCTACAATGCTGACCTCTTGTCCCCAGGACTGCTCCCGGCGATCCAGCGCGGCCCACCGAGCTGCAGCCCCGCCGCCCAGGCCGCTCCTTACACCCGGCCCCGCCCAGCGAGGGCCCCCAGCCTGCGCGGCTGTGGGCCGGTGGGTAGGCTGGGGGAGCAGCGGGTTTCACGGTTCAAGAGCGGTGACGGCGGTCATGGAAAAGGAGGCCAGGCCTCTGTGGGAGGAAAGCACGCAGGGCCCGAGCGCAGACTGCGGCTTGGAAACAGCGGCCACACCTCCCGCCAGGCTGCTCAGCGCTTCGGCCTCAGGCGGTCAGAGGAGCAGACCGTGGCTTAAAGTCCGGCTTCGCCTACAGGACACGCATCAGGGAAACAGAACACTCTGATTTCAAAACAGGGCACACACGAATGGAGGTGTGGGTGCCTGAGCCCCGTTTCCCGTCTCCCCAGAACAGCCGAGCTCCGCCTCTGCAGCCCCGCAGGTGAGAGTGAGGGAGCGGACGGCGGCCTCAGGTGCGTTCTGAATTTCTAAGAATGACTTTAATCCTAAGGGTCCGTCAAAAACAAGCCCAGTAATTTCTCATTAGTGAGCCTGTCCACTTACCCCTGTTGAAACATCTAATACCAGAGTCTTAAATCTAGTTGAAATTTACCGTATGCTCACTGGCTGACTGCTCGGAGGACAGGGATTAACTCCCAGCACAGGACACAGCTGCTTACCTGCTGGCCTTGAACCCTTTCAGTTTCTGTACAAAGAATGATTCAAGAACTTCTGCACACTGGTAGAATGGGGAGTCGCTTGGATTGTAGTAACGACAGTTATCAAAAATTTTGGTCATGTCTGCCACAAATTCTGTCAGCTTTTCATAGTATCGCCTCTGTACTCTTTCTTCCATGGTGGCAAGGTCTTAAAAACACAAAACGTAAAACATTTTCAAAGCTCTCATGTTTCCTAGTATAAACACACCTTGCACTTTGGACTAGTGTGCACGCGTGCAACCCTGGAACCAGCACCTTTACCCCTGCAGACTACTCTGCACTTCATGAAGGACACACTAATGCTTTTCAACTTTGTTTTTGATTCAGGTTCTAAAAGAGAAATCCTGGTTGCTATCAAGAAGGTTCTTTTATTTTTAGTTTATTACACAGAAAAGGTCTTCACTCATCCGGCTGGAGATAAAGGAACGATAAAGGAAACCATATCCATAGGCTCTACATGTATCTAATTATAGTACATCTTTACATGTAAACAAGCATAATGTCTGTACAAAGAGAGGGTATGAATCTAATTTATGAACAACAGTGGTTTTACAATCCGCACATTAGGTTTCAATGCATCATTTTGTTTCTTTTTTTGGTCTTTTTGAGACAGGGTCTTGCTATGAAGTTCAGGCTGGCCTTGAGCTCACTTTGCAGCCCAGGCTGGTCTTGAACTCACAAGGATTCTCCTGCCTCAGCCTCCCGAGTGCTGGGATTATAGGCGTGCGCCACCACGCCTGGCCCTGTTTCTTTATCCATTCCCCTCCCGCTCCAGGGAGTGCTGAGCTACATCCCCAGCCCTTTCTATTATTTTTAATTCTGCGGTAAGGTCTCTTAGGTCACCCACACTACCCTGAACTTGCGCTCTTCCAGCCTGAGCCTGCCAAGGAGCTGCGATTACAGACACGCGCCCCCACGCTGCCTCTTTATTCAGTTTCGTTGTTACCTGCTGTACGTGACCAGTGATACTAATCACCCATGGTAAAAATGACGGAAGTGTCTGCAAAAGGAAATGTCAGGGAAGCCACCCATGGAGGTGCACGCCTATAATCCCAGCACTCGGGAGGCTGAGGCAGGAGGATCACTGCAAGTTCAAGACCAGCCTGGGCTACAAAGTGAGCTTAAGGCCAGCCTGAACTGCAAAGTGAGACCCTGTCTTAAAAAGGAAAAAAAAAGAAAAAAAAAAGGACAAAAACAATCTGTATTATCTTTATGTACGTACCCACATAGGAGTACATACATGATGATGTTTATTTAGTGTTGTTTTTTTTTTTTGGTACTGGGACTCAAACTCAGGACCTCATGCTTGCCAGGCAAGTGCTCTGCCCAAGCTATATCCCTGGCTCTTTACCTTGGTTTTTACAAAAGCAGGAGAAAAAAAGGCAGGCAGGAAGGAAGTGAGCTGGGTGTGGTGGCACACGCTTGTAGTGTCAGCACTCAGGAGGCTGCGACAGGAAGATCACTGTGAGTTTGGGGCCAGCCTGGGCTACACAGTGCTTTGATGGCCAGCCTGAATAGTGAGACCCTGTCTCAAAAAAAAAAAAAAAAAAAAGAGAGAGACAGAAAAGGAGGGAGGGAAGGAAGCGATCCAGCTCTTTAAGCATTTTGGTTAAAAAGTGAAGAGTATTTAGTTACTAACCCATAAAAAAAGTCACCAAAATCACTGTTTTTGAAGATGACTGACAGGAAAATAGTTACACTGACCACACTATCTTATTTTTTTTTCTTGTGTTTTGTCTTTTTGAGACAGGGCTTTGCTATGCAGTTCAGGATGGCCTTGAGCTCACTTTTTAGCCCAGGATGGCCTCCTAGCGATCCTCCTGCCTCAGCCTCCCGAGTGCTGGGATTACAGGCGTGCGTCACCAAGCCCAGCTGTACATCTTTAAATACAATCACTTATAGCTGTTTACTAACACAATCAGTTATCGCTGTAATTTATTACCAGTTTTTTCCTGGGAAGTAAGTCTACCTCCTCATGGATCTCCAGTGCTGGCTCACTGGTCTCACCTCCCTTCAGGAAGGTGAGGGAGCGGTGACAGGGCAGGGTGACACTGATTTCATGCATTCTTCTACACAGCCACATGACGCCCCATTCTCACCATCTGATGTAGCTCTCTATGGACAGCTACTGACTTCCTTCCCAACGCGTTTGCACTTATGAACAGCGTTGCGAATAACTCACGCATATGCATATGTATCTCTTAAGAGATGAAACTGCTGGGTTCAAGGGCGCGTGCACGCAAACGGTGATGTTCCCAACTTCCCTCGCGAAGTGACCACGCCAAAGCATACTCCCACCAGCCTTGCTCTAGAGAGCCTTGCGACACTCAGCTGTACAAAAGGCAAGTACCCCCTCCCTTCTGAGACTGCGGAGAAAACAGCACGCTCAACTCCAGTACTTACCCATAGGCTCCTTAATAACACCGTAATAATCTGGTGCGTCATTCGGGTCTACTGGCTCAAGGAAAGGCCAGGCCATCTTATGGGCCTGTAATCAGAAACAGGTCTCATCACCGTCGGGTGGACATACTGCCACTTCAGTTCTCAGCTAAGTTACCGTATCGATGAATTCTTTTCAGGAACTTTCTTTTTTTTCCGGTACCAGGAATCGAACTCACAACCTTGCACTTTCCAGGCAGGTGCTGTGCCGCTGAGCTAAATCCCCAGCCCCTAAATATTTTAACTTTTTTTTTTTTGCGGTACCAGGGATCTAACTCACGACCTTGCGCTTGCCAGGCAGGGGCTTATGCCACTGAGCTAAATCCCCAGTCTCAATGAGTTCTTAAGTCAGTCATGCATTTGAGAGATGAAACTTTGTATGAGATGATTTCTGCTCTAGTCCTAAATCTAAGGTGAGCTCACCCTGTGATAACATTCGCTAATGCAGGTCTGAGGACCTTGGAGGAGGGGAGGAGGGGAGGAGTCGGCCCGCCCCGCCTCTGAGCACCGCAGCCAGCTCCGTAAGCTGCTTTGGGCGGCGTCGCAGTGACTCCCACGGGAGAAAAGCTACAGCCGAATGCTCTGTTTTGATTATTTCTCTAACACCCTCCAATCTTACAAACCACATCTACCCCTTTTATTTCTAATAAAGAAGGGAGTAATGGAATTTAATCAAACTGCCCTCCAATCTATGGCCAGGAAATAAAATCTTTAGAAACCGAAGTTTAAGCTGAAAAATCCCGCCCGAGTCCTTTAACTAAGATTGTTTCCTTCAACCTGCAAGCGGGAGGCAGCGAAGAGCCAGGCCCTTGAAGAAGGGCGGACCAAAGCTTAGCACTGTCTCTCGACAGCCACGGGGCTGCTCTCCCCAGGCGCGGCCTGGCGCTCTCACCTGCAGGGAGCGCAGCACCCTCTTCAAGCCCTCGTAATCTTTCTCCGTGAGAGGCGTGAGCACTGTCATGGCGTCCTCCGTCGACTGGCACTGTGGACAGACATACTCGTCAATGAGCTCCGCCTCACTCTGCAAGATGCCAACGCAGCGCCCGTGGTACCAGTTCTGACACCGGTCGCAGCCAATATAAAACCTGCAAGATCCGAAACGGGAGTGTGAGTCCACGACAGGTGAGCTGATGTCGCTTCTTACTTGCTTTTGAAAATAAAACATGCAACTGACAATTTGCTAAACCTGGGATATAAAACAGTTTTATTATTACGGTTGCTTTTACTCTTAAGGTTGACGCTGCAATGCGTTACTTCAGTATCTCTGATGTTAAGAACAAGCAGTAAAGTTTACTAAGAGCACTGTGAATACTGGAGAACCAATTTGAAGAGAAAATGTAAAACTAATTGATTTTAAAGCTCAAAACCAAACGAAGTAAAAAAATCTTCCAACTGGTACCATATCCCATGGGAGTTCAAAATCCTTTAAGCAAGTAACAGTCTCAGAGCTTGCGCCAGAATTAGTGTTTTTCTAACCTACAGTAAAGCACCATTTCAAACACGGATAAAGCCCCAACGAGTCGGGCTACTGTAATCTCATGAATTTCTACATTGCAATATTGAAGCATCAAATCTACCATTAAAGCAAATCCCCCCCAGTGCATCGCAAGCATTCACTATGAAGAACACACATTTGGAGGGGGAGGGAAAGAGGGAAAAAGAAAAAGCGGAAAGGAATTTGTAATGTAAGTGTATCACATATGCAGAAAAGTCTTTCTTTTTACTTTAAAATAAACAACCGTCAGAGCAGTTTGGCTCCCTACAGTATTAAATACGATGCTCTTATCAGAACTCACTGTGACTCATCATAAGGTGTTCTGCAGATACAGTACAATTCCTCACTGCTGCCCTCTTGTGCCCGTTTACAATCATTACAGATGTACACATCCATTTTCTTAGCCTCCTTTTCTGTGATGCCAACACATTCTCCATGATACCAGTTAGTACAAAGATCACAGCCAATATAGAACCTAAAAGTATTCACAATGAAAATGACAGTGTAATTGTCATTTCGAGCTGCATGGCACTTAAATCTGTCTTCCCTGCCTTGACTCACTTTCTTATAGAATAACTTTCTGCAATGCGTCGGCTAAACATCCTGAATCCAACCCTTCTGCGCCTGCGACGACAGCACTGATGCTGTCAGTGTGAAAACACACGGTCACTCGCATCGATTCCAACAAGCACACTGTTTAGTGAGATGTGGGTCTTCAAAACAGACTAGAGTTTGAAAAAATAAACAACAGACGGATGGCGACGTCTTCCTCGTAATGAAGGTGTGTAAAACTGTAACAGGCACGAAAACCAAAGCCGAGAGTCGAAGACTTACATCTGTCAAACCTATTCCACAGAAGCCATGGCCATGTCAGGGCTAGTTAGATAGGTTTGAGAATGTATCTCACAACTTGAGTTTGAGAACAAAGCGAAGCGCAAACACCAAGCAGAAGGAGGAACTAGCGAGGAACATGCGGGGCAGCCAGGTGCAGAAGGTCAATGGTCAAAACATGGTATGAAGAAAACTAAGGAAGGTGCGTGGGGTAGTCCAATTTCTACCATGGCTTCTAAATAGAAACTGGAATGTAGTCCTATTAAGATCGTCTCTCATAAGGATTAAAACATGGGCCAGTTTTTCAGTTACTATAGTAGGTGTGGCAATGTGGAAAATAACTAGACTCTTAAAGGAACTGCTTCAATTCCAAACCAGACATGCTCGGAGGAGAACAATGGGAGGACGGCTATCTACAACCTGGAAAGTTCTGTAGGCGCTAGCAAGTGTGAGTGTGGTGGCCGGGAACCTCTACAGCATCAGCCGGTGTGGGTGTACAATGCAATACAGGCGCCCTAACTGACTCAGAAGAATCTCTGCAATGAAGGTAGTGCATCTGAAAGCGCTGGGATACAATACACAGGAATGCCACAGAGTCACGGCAAGAGTCAGTGAGAATCACAAGGGACCCAGACTGGCGTGGGGACACCACTAGCACCCTTTGTTCTAACAACATGTTTCTTGGCAGAGTCACCCAGAACAGTGATGGGGAACCTTTTAGAGCGTTCAATGGTAACAGCCAGCCAGCTGCGGCACGTGTGCCTGACCTAGAAGAATGGGAGTGGTCCTCCAGCTACAAACTGAGCCGCGTGGTGAATGGGAGGGAATAATACGCAGTCTTGTGCTTTATCTGGTGACCAGTAACTGTGTTTTGGTGACTGTCACAGGGTACTTCCTGCCACAGGTGGGGATCTTCTGAGGCGATTCTGCAGGCTGCCCTTCTGAGTGGTGGGGCATGTGTTCTGGAAGGTCAGGACTTGCGTTTTAACTGTGACTCATGCTTTTTGGGCTCTCAAAGCAGGCTAGTTTGGTATGAGAGAGGACAAAATACTCCTAAAAATACCAACTCCTTCCAACAAGAACAAGGAGTAAACGAACCTGACATACTGAAATGTTAATGATGGCAAACTGAAAAATATGAAATATCCACAAATTAATGAGGCAATTTCAACAGAATGAGCACAAGCACAGGTGTACCTCATTTCACAAAACTCTGGCATCCCAAAAAAGTTGTGTGTGAAATTAGTTTCTCTGATTTGAACACTTTTAAAGGGCCAAAGAAGCCTTAATATGCAAAGAAATTCCACGAGCAGATCTTTTTCTGAAGAAGAGTGACTTTTGCTTCAGCAGTCAGAGTGTTTTGCTTAAAGTGAGGCACACTTGTAACAGACTAAGGGAGAAATCGGTTAACGGGTTTCCACGTTTTTATTATGTGTCATTTCCAGTGAGGGCAGACAATGGGAAGTGATGAAGACGCCTGAACTGATGCGAGTTCGATGGACAGGTAACCCTAGCAACAAGAAGTTCACATCTGGCATTTGCAAACAGATAATTTAGACACGGCAGTTTTAATGTTGTCACATAAATATTATTAAAAAGATAGTAATTTTATTTTATGCATCAATTAGGTATCCATTTAAGTAGACATTAGGCATTTCGAAATCTGAAAGATCATTTTAAAAAACAACACAAACTTTTCAGTACTATAGAAAATACTGTGATTAATTATGGCTTTAAAAAGCTGGCCTACATCTTAATGCTTAAAATGGACATTAAATACTTAGTTCAATGACAATAATGACCTAAATAAATAAAACTACATTCATGGACTGTCTTGAAAATCTTGTTTTATATCATCAAATACAAGTCACAATTGTCAAAAACAGTTTCCAGATGCCATGCTTATCAAATTTTTGAGCTTCACAGTTGAAGAACAGGTGAAAGGAACTTTTTTTTTCTGTATTTTTCTGGCTTTTGTCCCCAACAAGACTGGGAACTTTGACAAAAATATCAGGTTGCAGTACTTCAACACAAAAACAGAACTGCAAAAAACCAAACCAAAACAAACAAACAAAAAGCCACCACCGAACCACCTCGAACCATTCCAGTTTGAAGCCTCTTGCACCATACATATTTGGATGGACTCCAGGATCTAGAGATCCCGGACAGGAAATTTTCAGTACCGGGCTTCAAGAGTACCGCACCACCTGTTCCAGTCCCGGTACGGATCGACTGGGACTTGACCCAGAGAGAACAGAAGAAAGCAAAAGGGCAACAGAAAGCTGGTTTTTGACAGGAAAGAATACAATGGAGGGCACACAGGACTCGTGAACATATGAAACGGCCAGTGTCACTCCCCTGCTGTCAAGGTGAAGACTATGAGATGCGAGACCAGCAATGACACACGGTCCTCCTCACACTAGACTGTTTTCATTGTCTTCGAAAGTATCAATGTAACAGCTAAACTTAAAACAAAATAAACTAGAGCTCAAAAAGATCTACTCACTTAGATTCATCATAAGGCGTTTTACAAATACAGTAAAGCTTTGTGTCCTTCTTAGTTTCCTTTGAGGTAGTAGAGATCATTTTCTTCTTCTTGGACTTGGAGCTGGAGTCCTTCTCCTCTTCTCGCTTCCTCTTCTGGGAAGCGGCGGGCAGCGGGGAGGCGGGGAGGCCCGCGTGCTGCGGGGCAGGCGCGCTGGGGGGGGACGGAGGCGGGGCCGGGGGGGCCGCTGCGGCAGCCCGCGGGGGGGAGGGTGCTGCCACCACACTGGCCTGCACCGCCTGCACCAGGTCTTTCTCTTTCTTCATTTTCAGGTCTCTCCTCAGCTCTTCCTGTTGTCGATTAAAGAGAACACAAGACGATCATTGGGACTCTGTAATCGCACGAGCCCACCACTTGCTAAATCAGCTCCATGGCTCAGGCTGATGAGAAAGTCTTGGTAATTAATTCCAAACCAGAGTTTTCCCACTTCATTTTTGTGGGCCTGGGGATTAAAGCGAGGCTTTAAAAAGCTGTATGCTACGCGAGCGCCCCACCACTGAGCTACATCCTCACCCCTAATTTCTTCAGCCCATTTAAAATAATCAGAAATACAAAATCAAGATTATACAACTAGAAGGCTGCTTGCTAGGTGTCTTCAAAGGCGATCTGACAGAAAGATGAATATGTGTCTGACAATGTGCCTCTGGCTCGCCCTGTCCTGGCCTGCTGACTTCAGTAGTTGCTCAGGAGGGGATTTCAACTGTCCTCATCCACCAGCTGCTTCTTTTCTTTTTGTCTTTGTGAGACAGGGTCTCGCTATGCAGTTCAGGCTGGCCTTGAGCTCACTTTGTAGCCCAGGCTGGTCTTGAACTTGCAGTGATCCTCCTGCCTCAGCCTCCCGAGTGCTGGGATCACAGGCGTGCGCCACCAGGTCCAGCTGCTGCTTTCTTTTGCCTCTCATTCTCTTTTTTTCTGCTACCGGGAATCGAACTCAGGACCTTGCACTTGCCAGGCAAGCGCTGTGCCGCTGAGCCACATCCCGGCCCTGCCCCTCACTCTTGTCCTCCCAGGAGACTGAACACAAACCAGACATGGGATTCAAAACGTGGCCTGACCGTCCCACAGGAGGAGGAGAGGCGGCTCTGACTGGCTTAGTGCGTCCCTGCGTCTGGATTTTGACGGTCAGGGTTAGGGGGAAGTGGGTGCCAAGACTCAGTTTTCTCAATACAGGTTTTGAAATAAAACACCGACTTTTTCATGTGAAATGCCCTTAAGATGCACTTTTGCCACAAGTTATCCCTGGAAATAGGAAATAAGGACTGAAGCAAACTGTGTTTCCCCAGAGAAGACCCGCTGGGATTGGCACCCACGAACAAACATGGTACAAGCAAACATAAATCCTGGACATTTAGTATTTCCACAACATTGTTCAGATATACTTTCTTCATAATTATTTTCCTTTCAAAATTATATGTGGTTTAAGAACAGTATCTTAAATAGTCCACATTTCCTTTCAAGAGCTTTTGCAGAAGCCTGGATTGATTTTTTTTTTTTTGCCTCTTAAAAATTAAAATGATCCCACTGACCCTGGTGCTATATTGAATTGGAATCATTCTCTAAAAACTGCTAAATATTTGGAAGGTTCTAGCTGTCTGAGGGTTAGGAGAGAGGAGTCCCCTGAGCTTCATACTCATACAGTGGAACAGCACATAACAGTAGAAAAATAAAATCCTGACTCTTAGAAAACAACTGTTCATGACTTGTTTTTCTGCCTCATTTTGTTATTATGGTAGTTTCACATGAATTCTAGAGACAATGAATCTTCCTAGTGAAAAAATGAGAGAGAGAGTATCTAGAACTACAGGAATTTTAGTTTCTAAAAGAGATCTTACCTATAAGCACATGGGGAAAAAAAAAGAAAACAATTGGGAAAAAAAAAAGAAAACAATTTCAAGGTTTTGTTACAACCAAGACTTTGGCAATTAAGAACCTAAAACACCAATCATAGAAATTTGAGGAACCAGGCGTGTGGTGCACGCCTGTAATCCCAGCACTCAGGAAGCTGAGGCAGGAGGATTGCTGTGCATTCGAGCCCAGGCTAGGCTACAAAGTGAGCTCATGGTCAGCCTGCACTGCATAGTACAAAGACAAAGGAAAGGAAAGGAAAAAGGAAAGGAAAAAGGAAAGGAAAAAGGAAAGGAAA